GCAATTCTTCCTGTATTTATTTCATTGAAAGTTATTTTATATTTGTCTCACTATAAAAATAGTACATGTCAACATATAATGTTTATCTAGACCCTAACATGGGCTATTAAAAAGATTATTCATTGACTCCTCCTCACACAAACAGGATCAATTGCAATCTCGACTTTGTAGACAGAAGACGAAAGCTCAGAGTAAAGGGACTTGTTTATGGTGTGTCTCCGGTGAGGGGCAGAGCCTCCATTCTCACTCAGGTCTCCTACCTGCAAAGCCTGTTCTCTTTACCTGTCTTCCCCAGCTCAGGCTCCTTCTACACCGTAGGTAGAAGTGAAAAGGGAACACATGAGAGAAATAAACTTCTCATAATGCAACAACTCTAAGAAAGAAATAGTAACATCTCAGTATATATCTGTACAGTCTTTTCCAGATGCATGACTTTTCCACATATTTATAGTTCTACTCCCTCTGAGTATATAAAATATTATATCCCTGCCTTTAACTTAGCACAAGCATTTCCCTGAATTTAAAAAAACCCAATTAGCTATGAACCACATTTCCCTAAAATAGTATGAACTGATACCATGTACCATGTTCTGTCCCCCATCACTGAACGCTTCGGCCAGCCATCTCCAGGTCTCCACCAGTGCAAATGTTCTGTTGTAAACAATTTATCTGCAGAACCAGCCTGCTGTTACTTAGGATAGGGTCCCAGCAGTTAAGACGACCACTCAAAACGTATAAAAATTTGAAAAAGTTTTCATTCTTGAGATATATTACATGTTTGCCTTTTCCAACATGCAGAGAGATACATCCCACTGAGCATCATGTAGAGGGCTTGATTCAATACACACCTGACAAAATGGGATTCATCGTATTTTATTAGTTTTCTATAACCTCATCTTTTTCTTTCTCCTTCATGCATTTGCAAAATAGAGAAAAGAGTGCACCATTTTAGCAGGTCTTCCTTTTGCTTTTTAAAATTAATGTTGTAGGGACTATTTTCACAGTTTGAAACCTCAGACTTATCTCCATGGCTGACTAGACATGGGCGATAAAGAAAGGAAAGAAATAAAGACTGTATGGCCCTGGCCGGCACGGCTCAGTGGTTAGAATGTCGACCTGGGGATCGGAGGGTTTGAGTTAGACTCCTGTTTCAGAGCATGTACCTGGGTTGCAGATTCATTACCCTGCCTGGTTTGGGCACATGTGGGAGGCAACCAATCGATGTGTCTCTCTCCCACTGATGTTTCTCTCCCTCCCTCCCTCCCTCCCTCCTTTCCTCTTTCCCTCCCTTCTACTCCCCTAAAAAATCAATGGAAAAAGTTTCCTCGAGTGAGGATAGAAACAACAACAACAACAACACTGTGTGAAATTTTTTTTTATGAAAAGTCTCAAGACTTGGACCATTTCTTTCCACTTGATGTTCACCCCTCCAAGCCATCTCTGTGGCCTCCTGGACTCTTCTCTCATTTTGTCTTGCTCACCTGCACTCTGCTGCCAAGTGAGTCTTTCATAAACACTAAGCATGTTTTGCAATTGTCTGATAGGTAAGGTTTCAACAGTTCTCTGTTTCTTATATAAATCCTTTGCCCAGCTTTCAACCTCTCAACCTACACACTAGATTTTTTTTTTTTTTTTTTTTTTTTTTACCAGCAAGTAAACCTTACCTCTCCAGGTCCTCCTTCCCATTAACTTCAGCTTCTCTTCGCCTCCCTACCTTTCCAAAGAAGCAGCCTAAAGGCAAATGCACTTGACACTTATATTTTATACAGATAGAACTTGCCATTTATGTCACGGTTCAGAAGATACCCCAGGACCTTCCAGTGCTTCTCACTGTAATGTCAATTTGTGAAAGTGGCTATAAATAAAGGCTGCTAGTTGATGGCATTTTGAAATGATAGCTTATGCTGAATTCCTGATCTCAAACTATCACAGCAGAAGCATAGAACTTGAACTCAAGTTTGATCAAGAACGAGGACTCTGAGACTATTTAGCCTTTACAGCCATTGTGTAATCTTATGGTTAATATAATCACAACCCGTTAAAGTTCTGGCTTTGTGGCCAGAACTTGCATTCACCTTCTAGTCCAATTGTGCAGTATCGAGCTTTCTCAGTTGGCACTTCTCTGCTTTCAAGGGAGCATTTAACTCAGACCTCTGCAAACATGGAGCTCTGTTCTGTTGGCTGTAGAGTACGTAGGCCAAGTGGAATTTCTGGCACTTCATTACATTCCCTGACCCTCACTAAACAAACTTCAAAATATATATATTTGCAACAATTTGGAATAAACACTACATACAAGTGTTGATGGTAGATTTTTCTGAAGAACTACCAAATGCATCAAGACTAAGGAAAACATTCTAATGATTCTTTCAAACATGAATATATTTAAATTCTCGTTAAACAATCTTCTTATTTAGTCTTCTCAGGCTTTGATGACATGCCACGATTGGCTGTTTATCAAAAACTTAGCAAGAAATGCTTAACAAGACATAATCATGTGCACACACTTGTGCATAATTAAACCCAGTTTAAAAATCAGTGCGCAGTGGAATATGGTCACACCACTCAAGAAAGGTGGGTGACTGGCAAATGACACTTGTCTATCTATAATGAAAAATCTTATAATGTGAATGCTGTGAAGGTGATATAGTAATCCGTTCTTAAATCTTAGTTAAATACATCTATTTCCATCTCTACTGAGCTGAATGAAAGTTCTAGCAAAGTCAGGAAGTTACCTTAGGTATAAAAACGCAATCAGGCATTAGTTGTTCACACTGGAATGGTGTGGCATGGAGGTGAAGATTCTCATTCTTCCTAGGTTTTTAATTGGATGGATTCTCATCTGTGTGTTTTATTTTTTTTCAAAGAAGAATTTAGCTGACTCTCATTTTCTTCATTTTATAGCTGTTCTTTCAATTGGAATGGAGGAGGAATAATTGAGACTGAGTAATTGATATTTCTCAAGATATACAAGAGTAGGTATTGCATCGCATTAAAGACTACACTTTCCCATTTGTTTTATGACTTTGTCCAGTTAACATTACTGAGATAAGCGCTCTGGTATTTACTTGTAACTTGAAACCCTTTTCATAGTATGACTGGATCCTACGGGAAAAGAATTAACATTTGAGGAATGCTTACCCTGTGCCAGGCATTTTATATGCATTATCTCATTTAATTCTCATAACCACAGGATATGGCTGACATAATTTAATCCAATTTTATGTGCCTGGGATTATAAAGGGAGTTAAGTATAGAACAAGGATTTGACAGTAGATCTACCTATTTCTTTAAAGCCCAAGATCCTTTCACTAAATCATACTGGGTTTCCCACTGTAGCCAGGATGTGGAGGTGACAGGAAAGGTCATTCTAACAACGAGGGGTCCTCTGAACTTCGACACGGATGCCCCTCTGGGAGTAAAATAAGTAAGAGGATAATATGACTAATTAGATTAAGACATGTACCTAAAGTAGTACTAGTTAAGCAAATTATGAGCTATGCATACCATTGAATGCTATATCATCATTAGAAAGAATCAGATGAGTCTGTTTAATGAAATGTGAAGCTGTCTATGAGTTGCAAAGTAGTTGCAGGAGAATATATGCTGTATGATATACTTTGACACAATTAACAACCATACACACATTTTTGCATGTGCTTAGAAACAGGTTTGGAAGGACATATACAGAAGTGTTAGTTACTTCTACTCAGCAGTCTAAGAATGACTAGTAGGCAAATTTCACTTTTTAATAATATATTCACCACTGTTTAAATTTTTTGTGTGCAATCACATGTATTACATTTACAATTAAAATTCATGTAATGAACTCATTGAATAATCTGCAGAAATGACCAGACCCAAGGAATGGCGATTAAGGTGATGAAGGAGATTTAACCTCACAGAAGTAAACTCTAACAAGCTTTAACATGACCATATGCATATGGTCAAAGCTAAAACCTTAACACTTGTATTGAGCTCTGCCTTATCGGAGGAAGGCGTTAACAGAGGACAAATGAGTAACAGTCATTTCAAATTTAACATGTCCAAAAGGGCCCTCTACTTACCCATCTGTGTAGCACTACCATTTTTCCAATCGCTCAAGCGCAAGCCCTAAGAGACACACTTGATTTCTCCTTGCCCTTACTCACTGCATCCCAACCAGGCAAATCCAACCTGACCCAACTCTAGAACATCTATCTCTCCAAGGGCTCCACTCAAGCCACCATTATCTTTTGCCTGGACTACTAGGGTTGCCTCCTAATAGGTGCCCCTGCTTTCCCTTTTGTAATCCATTCTCCACATGGCCAGTGTGACCTTTTATATTCCCCCAGGTGTGGTTCTTCATTGTATTTACAATGGATTACAAATGTCTTACTGTGATCTGACACCCATTTAACATTTGTGACCCCAACTCCCACTTACCATCCCCCTCATTCAATAGGCTCTAGCCATCCTGGTTTTTCAAATACAATAAGCTCTTTGGGTTCTCTGGGTTTTTACACTTGTGTGGTTTTTTTTTTTTCTGCTTGGAATACTCTTCTCTTACAGGCCAGCACCTTGATAATTTGAATCAACATTTTACCGATGAGGAAATAAAATTTCAGAGAATTTCAGTAACTCATTTATGGTCCTAGCACTTGGTACAAGGCAGGGCTAGGTTTTGAATTCATGTCTGAAACATCTCATACCTTTCCCATTGTACTATACAACAAAGTAAAGATGACCCATCTCAGGGCTCTGAGTACAGTTCTGACTAATCGATAAGTATCTGTTCACTGTAAAGGCCAGGATAAAATCAATTCAGTCAGAAGTTCCTTTTGTAGCTTCTCCTTCCTACCATTAGTACATTCTCCAACTTCTGCAGGAAGACTTAGATGAGCGAGAGGGGAAAATATGAGATAGATGTATTTGGAAACTCTTGTCTCAAAGATATGAAATTAAATAGTGTTCATTTAGGAAAGGAGTATATGACACAACCAGGAACCTTTACAACTTACTTAGTCAGATGTCCAAAGAGGACTTTCATGGTGTCACGATTTGATGGAGGGAGTTTTTGTACAAGGGACTTCATAGTTTCAATTCTTGTGTTGTTGTCTTGCTTTTCTGAAAAATAAAATAAAAACAAAGTTTAGAAAAAAATAAGATTTCATAAATACATGAGGGAATATTTTTAGGAGAATTTTGGACTAAGAATTAGCAGCGTAAAGTCCTACTCAGCAGCCAAAAGTTATAGGTGTGCTTAACATTATCATGGAGTTTCTTCATTTTGACTCTGAATTAGATCATGGCTGTGTGACTGAGATTGGCCATAGAGAAGTAAGTCAAAGTATCATGTGGGACTCCTGGGAAGGACATGCATAAGGTGCTCATTTAGCTACTGAATCAAATCTCACAAGTGTTTTTACTATTACACAAGGTGTGGTAGAATGAATAATGAACTTCCAAAGATGCCCATGTCCTGATTTCTGGAACCTGTAAGTCAGCGGTTCTCAACCTGTGGGTCACGACCCTTTTGGGGGTCGAACGACCCTTTCACAGGGGTCGCCTAAGACCATTGGAAAACACATAAATAATTACATACTGTTTTTGTGATTAACCACTATGCTTTAATTATGTTCAATTTGTAACAATGAAATTGGGGGTCACCACAACATGAGGAACTGTATTAAAGGGTCGCGGCATTAGGAAGGTTGAGAACCACTGCTGCAAGTATTTTACCCTCCATAGCAAAAGGGGTGTGTCATGTGATTAAACTAGGGGTTATGAGATGGGGAGATTCTGCTGGATTATAAGGGTGGGCCCAGTGTAATCATGAAGGTGGTTAAGAAGGAACCAAGAGGGTCAGAGTCAGAGACAGAAGTCATGTGACAGAGGAAGCAGGAAAAGAAAGGGCTGTGTGATAAAGGGCCATGGGACAAGGAACAAAACAGCCTCTGAAAACTAGAAAAAGAAAAGAAATAGACCTCCAGAAGGAAGTCAGTGAACTGATTTCCATTTTCTGACCTCCAGGAATGTAAGGTAATAAATTTGTGTTGTATGAGCTTGTGGCAGTTTGTTACAGCAGCAACAGGAAACAAACACACAAGGACACAGTGTGATTTAATTACCAATATTCTATTGTTTGCTTGATTTTGTGGAAGAGTAAATAATTTTTTATTACTTCTATGCTATCCTGTTTCTGCAATACATTTTGGTTTTTGCTATGAATTAGGAAAGTGCAAAAACAAAAATTGAAAGTATAAAACATAGTCATATACATTTAAAAAATAAGAAGTTCTTCAAAAGTCCATGCCACATGAATTTCTTTCCTTCATTTTGTTTATTTTTTACTTTTATGGGCATGGATGGCATCATAAAAACTAAGTTACTTAGTACACCAGAGAATTCATCTTGCCATAGTTTTAACCAGGGCAAAGAATTATAATTATTTATTGAACTCAAACATTTTCTATACTTTGATCTCTAACTACTAGCACAGAGCTCCAGGTGACCCTAAAGAGGCCACTGCTGCAAAAGATGATGTAGAAGAGAATAATATGTAAGGCAACACTCACCCAATATCCATTCTCTTCTTCCTTAGCAAGGCAATCCCATTGTTGTGCCAATACACCCACTTAAAAGAGCTCATTTCCTAGCTTCCTTGGCAGCTGGAGTGGCCATGTGACTAAGATTGGCCATTGAGACTTAAGTCAAAGTGTAATGTGGGACTTCTGGGGAGACCATGGAGAGGGTGCTGGTTTAGCTTTTTAGCCTTTTCACCTCTGCTCTTCAGAATGAAGATAGAATGGTTATAGCATGAGATGACACTGAGAACGTAGGCCCAGCAGAGTGGAACACATGGCTGGGAGGCCCTTCCCTGAATCTGTGGAGCAGTCCCTGGTCCTACCTGCCTGTCTCTGAGTTTCTTTGACATAGAAAATAAGCCTCTGTGAACTGGAACCTTTATGAATGGCTCTCTGATACTAAAGCCAAACATAGCTCCTAATATGATGTGCCTCCTGAAGCCCAATTTGTCATCACCTGTTATTAGGTAGATGAACTTAATAAAGTGGAATGAGAAAGAGAAACAGGCAGGGTATTTCACATACACTGCTGCAAACAAAAAAACAAACCACTTTTAATAAGAAATTATGGGGAAAATATCCTGCAGAAGATGATATTAGGTGAAAGTGGGCTGGGGTAGTCTTCCTAGTAGAACTGTGCTTGGAAGCTTTTCTTCTTGCTCCTGAAACCACAAAGGCCTATAAATAATAACCCCCTCTCCCCCCAGGCACAGCTTTCAAAGTTGCAGTTATTCTTAGATGAGTTCCAACATAATATGGATTGAACAACTGCCAATGAAAGAGCCAAAGGCAGAGGGAGAGAGAGAGAGAGAGAGAGAGAGAGAGAGAGAGAGAGAGAGAGAGAGAGAGAGAGAGAGAGAGAGAGAAAGTAAGAAAGAAAGAAAGAAAAAAAAGGAAAAGCCAGTTGCAACATCATAGAATACAGCAAATCTAATCTTTCTACCTAAAGGCTAGAAAGCCTCCTTGTAGTTTAATGATGCTAAGATATTGTGATGCTTCATGAGACCAGTTGGAGCTTATGAGACACCAGGAACTCAGGAAAAGAAAGAAAACAAGTCAATAATAATGAGAGTGAAATTGGTACAGTATGCCCAGGACAGAGCTCTTGGGACACTTGGGTACCCTGTATCTGGCCATCTGAAGCTAAAGCTACACACCAATGAATATAGGCAAAGATATATAGCTCATGCTGGTAACAGAATTTATCCAAGGATCTGTTGAACCACTTGGTTCAGGCAGTAAAGGTGATAACAGAAGAGGTGGTAGCAGTAGTCCCGATAGCTATTGTGACAGTCCTGAATAAGTATGTCTTACTGTTAAAAGGTGGTAGAGGAGAGAAGAAGGGAGGGGAGGAGAGGAAACCTTTCTAATTTCATGAAAATCTCTGGCCATAGTGATGATCAAGTCAATGTCAGAATCTCCAAAAAAGTGATCAATTGACATTGAGGACTACAGAAGCAGCAGCCATAAATCAAGCTGGGCAAATGATAAGTAGAGAGTGGTCCACATGAATATACCCAGCAAACATCTGTCTTAGGGAACATATGATCTAGTCAAGAGTGGTTGCAGAAAGGCTGGGTGTGGAGTTCCATAATTGGAAATATATGAATTTGCAAGATCACTGCCATGGTGCTCGGGCAGCAATTAAAACTTCACCAAGTCTGTTTAACCACCAGGTAAAATACTCGTGAATTTCCCTAGACAGAGTCAGTTCTTCTTCTGTGCTCTGTTACTCTAGCACATTCTATTCCACATATTAGTAATACTGCCATGGTTTGAAGCAATCCCAGTGCCCATCACTAGAGGAGTGGATAAAAAGCTGTGGTACATATATACAATGAAATATTATTTGGCCATAAAAAAGAATGAAATCTTACCATTTGTGACAGCATGGATGGACCTAGAGGGTATTATGCTAAGTGAAATAAGTCAGCCAGAGAAAGACAAATGCCATATGATTTCACTTATACGTGGAATCTAAAGAGCAATATAATCAAACAGACTCATAGGTACAGAGAATAGATTGATGACTGCCAGAGTGGTGAGGAGTTGGAGGACTGGATGAAAAAGCTAAAGGGAATGACAAGTACAGATTGGTAGTTATAAAACAGTCACAGGGATGTAAAGTACAGCCTAGGGAATATAGTCAATGCTAGTAATATTGTAAATAACTATGTGTGGTGCCAGTTCAGTACTGGAAATATCAGGTGGACCACTTTGTAAAGGACATGATTGTCTATCCACTGTGATATACACCTGAAACTAATACAAAATAATATTAAATGTAAACTATAGTTGAAAATAATTTTAAAAATTAAAAAAAATATTACCATGGTGAGAATGCCTATTGATTTCTCCCATTCAACCGGGAATTTTCCTATAAAGCTAGGAAGCACTTGCACTGGCATATAGTGGCTTAAATAAAGAATAAGTGAACCAATGAAAGACAAGAACATGGGTTGGAATAGACAGACCTTGCTTTGAATTCTGTAACAGCTTTTTATTAGCTGGTATTGGACAAGTTTCATTTTCTCTGAATAATACTGAAAAAGCCAGTTTTATAGATTGAGAAAGATAGTATATAATGCTCCTAGAACAATGACTAGTAAAAAGTAAGTATTTCATAAGTGTTTCCCTTTTCCCCTCTTCACCTTCTTTGAGGGCCATGCTGGTCGGGTTTACTTTTCATTTCCAACATTAATCACACCATCTGGTTGCAGTGAGCATTCAAATGTAGTTGAATTGAGATGGTGCCGGTGGTGGCAATGCTCTTGCTGTGGTAGCCTGACATTTCACAACACTGACTACTCTGTGAAAGGCTGAGAGACTGACCATCTGACTGGTGAGTAGTTCAGTTACATAGAAGAATCCTTGTAAAAGTCTACGGTGGTTCCCATATCTGCTTATAAGAAACATTCTACATGAAGTGTATTTTATAGAATTTTTTTTCTCTTTCTCAACTTTCACCCACACTTGAAGAATTGGACAATTGAATTGTGCTATACACATTGTGTGGCTAAGTTGTACATACATGGAGGGGGAATTGGATGATGGCTTAGAGAGGGCTGAAATATTATGAAGGAGGAGCAATCTATTTTCTTAGAATAGAATCTTCGAAAAGGTTATAGGAAAGCAGTGGTTTCCCATTCAAATCAGTACCACACCCACTTGTCCATAGCTTGTAAAATCAGGAAATAACGCAAACACTTCTAAGTGGAAGAACATCTAAAAATACAATTGGAAACGTTGAAACCGAAATGACACCTTTTCAGATCTAGTTTATTGATGCGTAATATTAGGAATTGGAATTGCATACATAATACAGGAGTAGTTAATGAGCTAAGATTCATACACAGCTTACTAAAGATGTGTCAACTGTCTTCAATTGATTCAGTGAGCATGTGAAAGACAGCATTTTCTATTAATATTTCTCCTTCAGCATATGGTTTCTCATTATTGTGAAGTATTGAGAGTTTTGAGAAGACTGAGATATCTCTTATGGAAGTGGGAAACAAGGAACTTTTTTTCTACATGGAGAAA